CAAACCATTCATTGCAGCAACTTGGCTTAACCGTGCTGAACCTGCGAACAGTTCTAAGAAATCAATCTTGCCAGTCATGACGGGTTGCCATGCATAAGAGGAATATGTGAAGCCTTCCACACCGATCTGGGCTCCGTCGCTCTGGACTAGAGAGCTTGCGTGGTCAGTGACCGGAATATCGGTCCGTTCACTCTCAGAACTCAGAAGTGCAACCGGGTCGAGTGGCACCTCAACATCTTCGATCGGATTGATGTCCTTACGGACCTTGCTGATGTTGACCTTCAAAATTCTGGTGCCTAAATCGATACCAACCATACTGCCGTCAGAACTGATGACCTTGCCCTTGATCCATTTACCACTGTGGGTTCCATCAGACTTTACCTTGGATTTATCTTCTGTCCAATAGTATATCTTATCACCAGGGTAAAATGGACCATCACTCAATTGAAGTCTTGCAGAAATATCTCTTCTCAAATCGTCGGATTGTTTTGCTTCTAGATAAGACTTCATGGCAAGTGTTCTGAGGGCATCTATATTTTTCTCGGGAGAAGGAAGTGAAGCTGTAAGCTGTTCTGGTGTCATGTTCTCTGGATACAAAAGATCTGCAGGTCGCCGTCCAAATGCCATCTCCAATGGAGATACTCCACCAAAAGTAACCATGGAGTTCCTGGCAAGTGATGCTTGTCTGAGGAGTTGACGGTACGTGATCTCGTATCTGGATGGATCCTCAGTCACGGCCTTAAGCATCAGGGTGATCTGCTTTTTGTACATGCGAACAGCTGCCTCTGCTCTATTTGGCCATCGAATACCAGGTCCTAAAGTGATCGGTCGGATATTCTTTCTGTTGTAAAAGGCTTCAAGTTCAGTACCCATGAAACCTTGATCACCGACAAGATACTTAGGATTCAACTGGTATGTCTCAAAGTACTCTAAAAGATGGCCAATCGGTTCTGCTTCAGTCTTGCCGTTACATACGTAAGCAGTGGTCATAGAAGTAGCACCGTCATAGATAATCAGGAAAAGAATTTTGGACTTGTCGTTGATAGCTAGTTCACCATGATCAACAAAGGTGAGTTCTCCAAACGTTTCACTTCTCATACCTGAAATTCTTGATCTTGATGGTGCAATCTTGGACTTCTGACATGTGTCACACTGCTTGACTACCTTTTCATACTCTTCATAGATCTTAGCAGGAATCTTCAAGGCTGATGTTCGTTTCTTGAACTGCTCAGTTGACATGTGATAGTGCTTCAGATGCAGTTTCAAGAGTTCAGTTGGATGAGACAGCTTTTCATGGATTCTCTGCAATGCTAACGGCAGTGTTACTGAAACCTTAGGAGCTTTCTTCTCTCGATGTACTGTTGTTGGTATTGGTTTCACGTCTTCCTTGGATTCTTCCTGAGGATCAGGCTTCACCGGCATGTCAGGTTCTGCTGGAGGTACGTCAGGCTTCTCGGCTCCTGAGCTCGAACTTGGAATCTTCGAATGTTCAAACGGCGTACCAAAATCAGGTGACTTCTCTGTCTTCCGGTATGTCGGAGGTGTCACCTTCTTAGCCGGCGGAGGCATCGAAATGAGTTTTGATGGCGGATCGACCTTGGCATCTCCACTTGCAATGTGCTTGTCTGGCTTCTTGGCCGGAATATCGGCTACAGACTTGTCTTCCTTCACTTCACTTCACTTCGGACGTCTCTTCCTTCTTGCATCCATCTTTGTATGTGTGCTTGCGGTGCTTTCCGCTGCAGGCAGGACAGGCTCCATACGAAGGATTGATTGCAGTAAAACTGTGGTTCGGCTTACGAACTGAGCTGGCAAACATCATGATGTCCAGGACATTATGGTTCGAAGTGCTCACTGGCAGCGAAAATCGCTTCAGGCCGAACAAAGGACAAGTCAGATAATCACCGACTGGAGTATGCTCAATAGACATGCGAAGGTTCCTGAGCTGCTCAACGCTGAAAAGGATTGGAACGTCGCCTTGGTCCAAGATATCTATCGCTGTTGTGATCCACCCTGTGGGTGACTGGTCGTTCTGAAAGTAAATTACCAGCTTCTCTCGGACATTGGACTGTTCACCGTTTGCAAATGAGAATCGACTTGATGAAGGCTCAAAAGAGAAATCAATCTTAGATGCATTGTAGTGTCTCTTACATGCCTTCACGAGACGCATGATGGCGGTCCTTGAACCCATTGCTCTGGCACAGCCGCTGTCAATGATCACGTAGGTCGGGCTGTACCTCAAGTCGATGTATTCAGAAAGCAGGGCATGATGAAATCCATCGTCAAAGTTGACAAAAGAAGAACAGAAGCGTGGATCAATTACTTCAGAACAACCGGAATGTCGGTAGTCTGTACTGCTACCGGCAGGGTTTAGGTGATACGGCTGTGAAACATGTTCTACACCAGTCATCTCTTCTGCATGTGTTCCGTAATGCCGGCAATCTGCTGACTGGTTCATCTGGTCAGGCTCTCGATCTGAGCTCTGGTGCTCTTCATCTTGCGGTCTGTCCGTCTCTCCGTCCGCAAAGTATGTCCATTGTGGCCAAGTGGCTTCATTTGCCTGCCAGACATCTTCAGGATAGTACTGGTCTGTGTGATATCCGTACGAGTCCCATGACCAATTTGCTTCATGTGCACTCCAGGTTTCTTCGGCATTAGTGGATGGTTGAGCTGGTGAAGGCTCTTCGGTGGTTGCAACATTGGATTGTTGAAAGGGATTCTGTTGCTTGCTTTTTCCTTTGCCTTTGAATGCATCCTTTCCCTTGAATCCTTTCTTTCCACCTTTCTTTCCTTTCTTGCCTTTTCCATAGAAACCTGAGTTGTCAGGGTACTGTGCATAATGTGCCCCTGCACCTTTGCCTCTACGGCTAACAAAGCCGGGTCTTCTGCCTTTTCCGCGGCCTTTTCCTTTGCCGCCTTTGGATGGTTTTCTGAATCTTCTACCATGGATTCTTCTACGGGTGTATCCTCCTTTGGCTGCTAACACCCAAAATTCGGACTCTGAGAACAAACTCACAAATCCTTCTTCGCCTGTTTCCTGATCCATCACCCAGTATCCGGATTCTTCTTCCAAGTCTCCTTCATCGAGGACAAGGAAAGTGGATCTTCTTTGCCTGCGGATCGAAGGATCGGCAGTTCCTGTGGCGGTTCCGCAAAAGAGATCAAGGAATAAGCCTTTGACACCTAAGTATGTGTAGTTGTTCATGTTGATCTGACGCAAGGCCATGCTGGCTACAAACCTTTCTCTTTGCTGTTCGTTAAGATCCGACTGAACTAAGAAAATAAGTGACATCAGGTTGTCAGACAATGGAAAGGTGTCACGATATGCTTGTTTCAAAGCATCAATGTGTTCAGAACGGATTCTTTCTGCGTTTTCTCTTCTTTCTGCGGGATCTTGAAGCCCTTGAAGTAGCATGTACTGCTGTTGCGAGAGGATATCAGGAAAGTTGAAATCATCAGGCTGTGGAACAGTCGAAAGATCTAACAAGCCCCGCAAGCCCATGAAGGCTTCCATGACTTTCTTGCTAGCGACTTCAAAACGAGCGATCCAGCTTACAAATTCCCCGTTTCCGCGCCAGGTCCTGAAGAGCTGCATGAAACGCCAGAGAAAAACATGATTTGCTCCTTTGACAAAGTATGGACGCAGCGTCTCTTTGAAATACGTAATACCGTTTCTTTCATGACGAAGCTGTTCATTGTCGAGCATTTTCTTGTAGTATTCGGCGTTTCCGGTTAGAGCGTTCTTCAATGATGGGCCTAATTTTTCGGCGCTTAACGTGGTGATGTTCACCCAGTCATCAATCAAATCTTCAAACTCGAACCAGGATGACTGTCCATCGAATGACGGAGGAATCTTTGGCGTCATCTTGACACCTGCTGATGGCTGTGCCTCGTACGTCCGGTATGTCGAACTCGAGGACCTTCCATGCTGTTGGCGATGACGCGAACCTTGAGCTGCAAAAGCTTCTTCTGGATCTGTTACGTCAGATAGGTCGCTGTCATGCTCTTCGTCCGTATCTATGTTAAAGATCTGGACCATGGTCTATTTGTTTGACAAGTGACTGACTTGGTTGTCCCCTGTCCGGAATATCGGACGATTCGGCACGAAGGCAAAATCGACCAATGCGAAGCAGGAGACACAAGCTCCGCTACCACTTTGAGGGGTAAGTTCCCCCAGAAGTGGCAGTTGGAATAACTGGACCTGATCGAAAACACCAAGCAGTCAAACACAAGCGGTCGGTGTGCGAGCTGCGGCGAAGCACACCTTTTCTATGGCAGTGAATGCAGTATTGGGCTGCTAAGTCTTGAGCCAAATGAATTATGTCGAAAGCGGACTGAAGAGCTACAGACTAATGTATGTACAATAACAGGTGCTACACACGTATAGTGTAGACACGCCCAGGGGGACCTAGGACCCTACTAAACACAGAGGGAGAGGGAGAGGGAGAGGGAGAGGGAGAGGGAGAGGGAGAGGGAGAGGGAGATGAGGGTGAGAGGGAGATGAGGGTGAGAGGGAGATGAGGGTGAGAGGGAGATGAGGGTGAGAGGGAGATGAGGGTGAGAGGGAGATGAAGGTGAGAGGGAAATGAGGGTGAGTGACAGAGAAGAGAGAGAGAGAGAGTGAGAGAGAGAAGAGAGAGAGAGAGAGTGTGAGAGTGAGAGAGTGAGAGTGAGAGAGTGAGAGTGAGAGAGTGAATGAGAATGAGCAAATGAGAATGAGCGAGGGAGAATGAGAGAGGGAATATGAGAGAGGGAGAATGAGAGAGGGAGAATGAGAGAGGGAGAGAGGGAGGGAAAGAGGCAGGGAGAGAGGGAGGGAGAGAGAGAGAGAGGGGGGGGGGGAGAGGGAGAGAGGGAGGGAAAGAGGCAGGGAGGAAGGGAGGGAGGGAGGGAGGGAGGGAGGCTCCAGAAAACAAGGAGGGTAAGGAAGGCTGGTTATATATGCAAAGGGGCCCTTGCTTTCCTGTGTTATCTGTTGATAAAGACCTAAGATTTGCGGCCTCATCATCGTGAAGACAGCGTCACATGCCATGCAGGAATTTGAAGCAGAGTCCGGAAGCCAAGGCACACCTGGACAAACGAATCAATCAAAGTAGGGCGCGAGGCTCCATCATACTGAACTAGAGGATACTTGGCTTGACTTGGGCTAGCCACATCCAGCCCGAAGCTACAAAAACATGCACATGGAAGTTGAAGCTACTTGAGTTTGTCACGTGTCAAGTCCCTTGAGGCCGACCCCTTTGCGCAACACACTTTCATATCATATGTCAGAGCGCAACCTTCAACATTTCAAGTTGAAGATGCTCGTTGGCAATCCGCTCAGGCGTAGAAGACTTCATTCTGCTCAAAAGTTGCATAGTTGTCCTGCAAACGGAGGTAGTACTCGCAGTCATGCCGCTTGGACCAAACACGAATCCACCCGTCAGGTAAGGGCTTCGCCCCTCTCCAGACTTGGTTCTGGACTTTCTGCCAGTCATCAATTGAGTCAGGATAGGCAGGCAAAGTGTCTAGAACTTGCTTGGGCGAGGCAGCGGGTGTGTTGTTTTTTTGCCATGGGGCAGGTCGACTCATACGAGGAGCACTGCTTGGTGAGCCCTCTGTTCGCCATCGTTTTGTATCTTGCTGGTCTTGAGCGTCCCACTGTTGTTGACGCTTATTCTCTTTTTGCCACCCTTGGGCCTGGTTGCCAGAATTGGAACCCCAGCCTTTCTCACTCTTATTTTCTTGTCCCCAGCCCTTCTGATCTTCCCATGTCTTGTTGTCGTTCTGGCCCCATTCTTGTTTCTTCTGCCCCCAGGAGTCCTTCTTCTCCCATGTCTGCTGGGCTTGCTTACCATTCCATTCATCCTTGGTGTTTTTCCAATCGTCTTTTTTGCCCTTCCAGGCATCATCTTGAGACTCCTGCCCCCACTTTTTGCCTTTCTGATCCCAGGATTTGCTGTCATCTTTCCAATCAGATCCACTGTCCTTCTTCCAAGACTTGTCCTCCCAGGACTTTTCATTTGAACTTGAACCCCACTTCTGGCCCGATTTGTCCTTCTCCCAATCGTTCTTCTGATTCCATCCACCTCCTCCACCTTTGTCCTTCTCTTTGCCCCAACCTCCTTTGTCTTCCCAATCATTCTTGGCTTTCTTATCATTGCCCCAGCTGCTGTTCTCATCTTCCCATTTTCTTTTCTTGTCTTGACCTTTCCAATCATCTTCTTTTTTCCATTCGTCCTTCTTCCAATCATCCTTCTTCCCCCAATCGTTGTTCTTCTGATCATTCTTCTTCCATTCGTCCTTCTTCCAATCGTCCTTTTTCCCCCAATCGTTCTTCTGATCATTCTTCTTCCATTCGTCTTTTTTCCAATCATCCTTTTTGTCGTCCTTCTTCCAGTCGTCCTTCTTCCATTCATCCTTCTTCCAGTCATCCTTCTTCCAGTCGTCCTTCTTCCAGTCATCCTTCTTCTGATCATCTTTCTTCCAATCATCCTTCTTCCAATCATCTTGTTTCCACTCCTGGGACTCTTCTTTTTGCTCTTCACCGTCCCATTTTTGATCATTGTTCCAAGTCTCTTCGGGCGGTGGTTCCACGTCCTGCAACTCCTTCAGCATCTCCAAAGCTGCCGTTTGCTTGTCGGCATCCCAGCACACCACGTTGAGCCGTACACTATCATCAACACCGGCAAGTGTTGTGCCATCATCGAAAAATGCAACAACTCCAAGCTTGTCCGCAACCTCGTTGAGCACCCGCTGAGGCAAATTCTTTTGCTTGTCCTTCTCCACCAGAATGAAGTTGATCCCGTCGATTTCATCAACTTTGGCTGCATCTGCAGCAGCACTAGGATCTCCGAGGAAGGGCTTGAGAAAGGATTCTGCGCGTGCGCATTCAAATGAAGAACCACTAGCAAAGTAGACCACCTGTTCTTCCAGCACAATCTCGCAGCTGGAAGCTGTGCCCAGGCGTCGCAGGAAGTCCTCCTCAAAACTTGCGGAGCCGACACTCATTGAGGTCACCGCAATCCTGTCCCCTTCGAAATTGTGATCCTTGCTATAAGCACCAGGACCTCACATTGCTGATTGAAAACCAACTTCCTAGCCAAAAGCACAAAAGCTTGATGGCAAATACAAAGCACAAGTGTCATTGCCTGCCATTGTTTCTCCTCACTTGCTCTTGTTGGACTCTATTTTCTCTCTCTCTCTGTCTGTCTTTCTTTCTTTCTTTCTTTCCTTCTTTCTTTCTTTGTTTCTTGTCTTTTCTTTTCTGTTCTTTTCTTATCTCATCTTATCTGGTCTTTTCTGTTCTTTCGTTTTTCTTTTCTTTCGTTTCTTTCTTTTCGTTTCTGTTCTTGTCTTTTCCTTTCTTTTCTGTTCTGTTCTTTTTTTTCGTTTCTTTTCTTTCTTTCTTTCTGTCTTTCTTTCTTTCTGTCTTTCTTTCTTTCTGTCTTTCTTTCTTTCTGTCTCTCTCTCTCTCTCTCTCTCTAGAGCTTAGCCATTTGGCTAAGGCGAGCGTAAGGCTCTTGTTGAACTGTATCCGCCATCTTTTGGGGTTTGGTGTTATGGTTGTGTCTTCCTTAGTCTCATTTGTGACTGCCTGTGGGTAGTGGGGCCACTCTTCTGTCATCCGGGGTGTTTCCAGTGGATGTCCCCCGTCCGGCAGTTCTAAGCCTTTCGTGGTCATCACTTTGGAAGAAACTTTCTGTGACAGAGAAGGTGGGGACATTTCACGCTGGCGTCTATCAGGCATCGTATGGATGCAATCACAAAACTGTCCGTTTCGCTTGTTCCACATGCATGCGAGCGATTATTCAAGGAAGCCTGAGCTTTGTGCATCCCTGCATCTAGCATACTTAAGCTACCCCGGGCCTCCGAGGCGCATGTCTAAAAATATCGGGAAGACACTCTTTCTGGACAAGGCACACTTTGCTTCGAGCATGGCCGCGAGGCGAAGCTGCGCTTCATGTCGCTTCTCAGCATCTGCACCGACGATGAGAAGCTCTCGTTGCTCTTGTTTTTGCAACTGCCTCTCTCGTTCAAGTGCTTCTGCTCCGTCCAAGTGCTCACGCAAATTGAAAGCAAGTGCTGTGGTCTCAGTGCCATCTTTGAGTTTCACCTTCATGGTCCTGCCATCTGTTTCGTCTTCCTCATCAGAGTCAGCTGTCCAACTTGAGATTTCCAGAATTGTCGCTTCTTGCCATTCACCTTTGAACTTGCATTCGACCACCTGGTCCTTGGAAAATTCCTTCTTCTGAGTCTGAGTGGCAAACAACTGGGCAGGCTTTGCGAGGGCAAGGATCATTGTGTCAGTGCTATCCTGAAGAGCTTGCAATTCCAGCTTGGCTGACACGGCACTGCTCGCTGGACCAGGAACGACCAAAACACTGGTGAGTTCCCTCAGCACTGGAGGCATCTCGGTGGCTTTCACACGGAAGTCCACAGCAGTCTGCAAAAGCTCTATCAGGGCTTGTGCTCTTGCTCTTTCTTCCGCAGTGCCTACTAGGAATGCCTGCTTGGCATCAGTGTCCTTCCCCATATATTCTAGGCAACTTCCGGAAATCCTCTCCAGCCTTAATTTAATGGCACCCTGTTTGCCTATGAGCTTTCCCAGGTCGCTACCAGGCTTGAAATCTATGATGGTCAACCCAACAGTTCCGTCCACTGAAGATTTGTGTAAGGAGGTCACATGACCAGGCAGCTTGCCATCAATGCGGTTCAAAACCTTCACCTCGCATACCATGCGTGGACGTCGCTGGCCCAAAACCAATAGCTTTGAGGGAGGCGGTGGGGGCGGCTCCACCTTGGCCCGAAGCTCGTCAGTGCCCACCTTGCAGGGAGCTTATGTTGACAGCAATATTCTAAGGCTGAACATGGAACGAGATACCATGTGATTTACTTTCTGCATAATACCATGTCGCGGCTTGAACCTGGAAAGAGTTTGTTTGACTACTACTTTGGTCTTGTTCAATTAGTTTGTCTTTGTCCACCTCAGCTTCACTGCCGTCATGAGCCCACTTGATCTTCACCTTCCCATCCTCTGTCTGCTGGACAACCTGCCAAAGCTGCAACAATCTGAGTGACTTGGGCTGCAAGGATCAACGCAAAGAGCTTGAGACTTTTTGAGAACTATACTAACACAGCTCTAGACTCTAGAGCAAAGGAGTGATCTCATGATCTCATGCATTCCATGCGGGGCCTCGGCATCATGAAAGCTGTCGCCATACTTCGCTTCAATCTTAACACCTTCCTTCAGCTCAGGTAGCTCTGCGGGCTCTGCTGCCTCTGCCGTTTCTGTTGCTTCTGCTTCTGCTGGCTTCAACCGAACCTGGTTGCCCTCCACATCTGCTTCGGAGCCATCAAATCCCCATTTCACTTTGACTTTGCCATCCTCTAAGCCAACAACTTCAGCATCAAACCAACTGCTGCCATATTGGGCTTCAACTTTGTCACCTTGCTTCACTTCTGGTTCTGCACTCTTCTGGCGAAGCTCTGCAGGAGTCAAGTCAGACTCAGAACTGTCAAAGGCCCATTTAACCTTGACACCGTTTTCGCTGGATTCAAGGACCTCCACCTCAAACCAGCTTTCTCCGTACTTGCCTTCAACGACATCTCCTGCTTTGAAGCTTTCAAAGGTTTGACTCTCTTCAGCCGGAGCTTCAGCTTCTTTTGTAAAAACAGCTAGGACATCAGAGGCATCACAAAGATCCAAGAGCTTCGCACCGTCTTTGCCAGCGATCGCTTTCTTTTCGACCGTACCTGGCACCTCTATGATGCAAATGCCCAAGCCATCTCCGTCACTGGAAGTCTCCAAGATCTCAAGCACTGCAGGAGTCAACTCAATCTCCTCTCCGGTTCTAAGAGCACAAAGGGCTTTAGCGCAAAGATCGCACCATCCATGGCCTGTGCCACCCCCGCCAGGTGGTGCCAAGTGTGATTGGGGCACCAACTTCAACGTCCCATTTTCATTGACTTCTGCATCTCCACCGGCAAGACGCTCCAGCTTCCTCAAGCGCCGAGAATCATCCTCTTGGAACCATGAGGCAGCTTCCCAACCAGCCTCAATCTTTACTGGGGCTGATGGATCATCAGGATCAATTGGCACATCTGGTACCTCAGCTGATGGATCATCTTGATGAATTTCACCATCTGCGGCATCCAATTGCATCTCTTGACCCTCAGCACCTTCAGCACCGTCGTCTGCAGTGTTTCCCGTCCACCAGGCATTTCCGTCCTCAGCCTCTGCGTTCATCTCGGCTTCCTCTACATTCGCTTCCGCTGCATCACCTTGCTGCCCTTCTTCTGGCATTTCATGCGTTTCACCCTCGGCATAGGTACCATCAGCACCATCTTCCATCGGCACTTCCTGCTGTCCTTCCTGTCCTTCCTCGTAGTTTTCTTCTTGGCCTTCTTCTGGTAGATAACCAGCTACTTCCGCCGTTTCCTCCGGCAAGTCTTCTCCAGGCTGAGCATCCGTCATTGCAAATGTCAAAACTTGATTTGTTTTGGTTGTGGGTGTGTCTATTGCATGCTGTCTGGCGGCCTACGCTTGCGTGCCAATGTCATGTGCGTGCCAATGTCCATGCAAGCCATTGAGTTGCCACACGTCATCACTTGGCCCAAAATGATCATGGTGTTCAGTGCATGCTGCAAATGTGAATCCAACCACATTGTGCGTAGCTTTCAACCGTCAAACTGTCTTTCTTGAACCCTCCAGCGCCTGGAAGCTCAGGCACCTCTCGATCTCAAGGGAGTCACGTCAAGAAGAATGTCCCTAAAAATTTTCAGGTTGGAGCATGATCTAACAGTGTCTTGATTGCTCCATTGCAGATTGGCACCGGCAGCTTCTGGCGCATCTCTGCCAGGAAAGGTCGCACTTGCATAAGTGCTGATAAGCTTCCTGCACATCAAATGGGCCCTGCTGTGGAAAAAAAACACCAGGAACAAACACAGAGCGTTCTTCTTGTGCCTAGCAACTGCTAATCCTACAGGATGGTGTGCAAGTTCACAATTCACGGTATGCCTTCCAACCCTCGGCTGATGGCCTCGCAGGGAGAGATGGCCTTGAGCAAAAGCTTGCTGAGGGGAGATCTGGCCATGCGCAAGAGCCCAGCAATCCTCAGAGTTTTTGTTCCAACGACCTATACGCAATCACAGCAAACCGCAACTGCACTAGACGCAGACCATCAACTCTTGGCCATGCAGCTGCGGCAGAACGCACCACCACTGTGCAATCGCTGTCTTCCCCCTCTGGCTGGCCTTGATGAAGTAAAGGCGCGATTGTAGATGACATGTGTGGGCATCGATGCCGGTGCGACACTGCCAAACACAAGGCAAATCGAATCTCTTAGCTTGTGGCGAACAACCAAGGTGCCAGCACCGCTGTCTCTCAGCACGAAGCGCTCCCCGGCAACCTGCAAAATATAACAACTTAAGAAAATAGAGCCGACAGATTGGCCCAAAAAAACAAAACCTCCAGGGCCAAGCGTTGAGCTGCATCTGGAACAGGGCCCAAGCGTTGCACGATGCCATTCAGCTGACTCAGCCTTTTGATCAAGGCGAAGGACTGCAACAATCCCTTGGGGCTTAGGACATGCTTTTCTCTTCGCTTGCACTAGGCAACCACATGGAGATGAAAAAAAACACTCCAACCTGCAAGCATGTCAGCCACCTGCCTTGAAAACATTGTGTGCATGCATTCGTTCAGACTGGTGCTTCGTGGCACACCCATTTTTGACTCCGACGAAAGGCTTGCAAATTCCGCGTCCGTCAAAATGGGCCCAGCTGAAAAGCATAGACCTAGCATGGTTCAAACACCACACTGGAGGCCGAGTTTTCCAGCCCCCTTCCGCGAGCCCCAGCTTGGCTCAGTGCCATTGAAGAATTTGCAAGCATAGCTTGCATGAAAAACGGGTACATTTATAAGGGTCAACAGAGATCTATGATGCGCCAGGAGTGCTAGCAGTATTGGGCCTGCACTGCTCAAAAGGAGGCAGGCGGGCACGTTCACACTCGACGTACCCCCACGCCCACACCACTTTGCGCTCCGGCAGGTCAAAAAGAACATTTAGGGCCTTCAGGTTCCAACCTTGCTCGGGGACCAAGGCCATGGCAACAACCTACACTATGCCAAGGGTGTACAGAAGCATGAAACCTGCCCTCCCAAAAAATGGCACGCACGTTCGCACTCAACGTGCCCTAACGCTTCCTCAGGAAGCGCCCACACGACTGCACATTGCAGAAGTTGCAGAGGGAACCGCCTTAAAAGGACGTTCTCTCATTCCAGGGGATCAATGACAAGAGCAAGGGAAAGTTGTCAACTTCAAAAATGGCCCAGTCGACAGAACAAAGAATTTAAGTAATCAACGAACCTGCAGCAGGGACATGACGCCACTAGTTGGTCCAGCATCAAACACGGAAGCTCCGAGTTTTTGCGTCGGGCGTACTTTTGAGACGGTCTCACTGTCTAGCATGGAGAGCTTCGCTTAGCGCAACTCCACAGAACATGACATTGACAACTCAGATTGAAGGCAGCATAGCGCTTCAGCAGGCTGTTCATGGCGCAGGTTCGACTACGACCACGCTGTAGGAAAGGCACATGAAGGGGGGGGGGCCGACCTGCGCGGTACGTTTCAGTGAGTCGCGGTCCTACGCCTTGTAGTGTGGTTTCAAGGCATTTGACGTGCTCCATGTTCTCTGGGCTCATGGTTTGGCGCATGGCTGTGCCCCAGAAAAAGGGAATTGTGCTGCACAGACTGCGCATTTTCGGTCCCTAGTGTGCAGTTGGAATGTGGGTCACAGGCAAACCACTCCTGAGGCTGGAGTGCGAACGCCCTCAAGCAGATTGGTGGTGAGCACGCTGGCGCCTATGGATGATTTGCTGGTGTTGTCGCGCATCCTCTTCTGTTGCTTCAGCTGATTGAGGCGTGGGGTGAATATTTCAGCTTTCCACTCCGAATAGCCGCCAGTCTTGGTTTACCCGGGAACGCTGAACGCTTCATCAGATTGACGGTGCTGCAATGGCTTGGAACTCCACCGGGCCGCGTATGAACAGGTCTTGATGCGGCCACGCCTGTCTCTCTCTCTCTCCCCTCATTGTGCCCCGAGGCGCTTGTGGAGGCAGTCAAAGCCACAACCGAGGAGTTGTGGTGGGATAGGGCCACATCCAGGACATCGACCTTCGCCAGGGTACGCGCGGTCAAGGAGTGTGGCGCAGAAGAGGGCATTGCATCAGACTTCGCTGCAGCTCAGGTCTGACTGGAGGCCCAGCAGCGCAATGCTACGCAGACTTTGTTGGCCGGCGGACGCGCATTAGGAGCTGAAGTGGGCAGTTTGGCGCCCCAGATGGCAGGACCCACGATGAAGATGTATGGCAAGTGCTGATCGCGAGTCATTTTGGTTTCAGGCTGGCGCTTCGGGCCAGCACAGTGATATTCGAGCGAGATTGAGTGAACGCTTCCTCCTGAACTATAACAGACTGAACATGGAGGCGATCGTCGCCGAGGGATGTAGATGGAGTGATCGTTGGCACAGGAGCGCGTTTGGTGTCGGCTAGCCCGATGTTGTCAAGGTTTGGCCCGCTTGCGACGGATCTGACAAAGGATGTTGCTCGAAAAAGGCAGCTGTGGTTCCTCAGTTTGGTCGGGTCACCCGTCTCAAGCTTTGAAACCTTGTGTGCTCTGGCTCTCAATAGTGCTGAACACGTCCCTACGCGCTGTGTCCATGGCCTTGTCATTCCTCTTGAAAGGCTGACAGGAGCATGACTTTCCGGGCTACCCTCACGCAGTGGCGGGTCCCCGCTCATGGGCGGACCTCGGCCAAAGGCTCCTGGCCACGCTGGGGGCCTTCCGAACATCCAGATTTCTCAGCAGGTCTTGTGGTTCTTTTTGGGCCGGCCACACCTCATCTTGCTTTGGCTCCATCCGTAGCTTTCGACTGGCACTGCACTTTTCCCAGGGTCGCTGGTCACCTGGTGACATGACAGCTGGAGAGGGCTGAGCTTCCCACTTTCATCTACAATTTGTTGATTTGCTGTCTTCAGACCAGGGCTGAGTGCCTGAGGATCCTTGACTCGCAAGTCTTCTTCCAAATTCCAGCTCATTCACTGCAGTGGGGCCGACCTTTATCTCAATGAGCCAGGATGTTTAACCCTTCCATCTGACCCAACTCTGGGGCTAGAGGAGTGCCAACTTTGTCTCTACCAAAGGCCTGGTCAACCATGCTCTCTCCCAACCGGGCGGTTTGCGCACGAAGGTACACCCCAGATAGTCGAACACTCGGGCAGCCGCTGGGATCACCATCGCGGAGGTGAAAACATATTGGGGGCTGCCCACTGGATGGCGAAAAGGTCTGCCGGAGCGCTCATTGCCCTGGCTCCCCTCATGATATCATCGAAAGAATTGTTCTTTTGTCCGACAAACTCTTAAGCGTCCCGCTGGACATGCCACGGCCGCTCCCGTAGCCCTCAAGGACTTGGGGCACCATTTTTTCATGTCTTTTGTAGATTAGCCACCCCCACCGAACTGCCGGCAAAGCCCTGCAGCCAGGGGGAGCGCTTCGTTCCCACTGAGCCGAAACTCCGCGCGTCATCACTCTTGCATACATAGAGAACATATATATATATAATTGTATGCATATAATATGTATACATATACACACAATCATATGTATCTATACATGCATACATATGAGGATAATCAAGCTCGACATCGGCAATTGCATTCCCAGTCACAAGGTGCCGTTGACAGAAGATTGGTCACCCATGTCGAGTCTACAAATCAATGACCGAAGAAACAGGAGGGAAATATCTCCATTCTGATGAAGGATCGAACTGCTAGGCTGCCAATCAAAATGTGGTTCATCTGCATCTCTGAATGGTTCTGAATTCTTTTTTGAAAGAATGATGAGACTTTGGCAATACATGACCTAGCCTATCAGTAGTTTCGCTACTCCAAGGGTTCCAAGCCCCAAGGCCTGTGATTGACCTAGTCAGTCACTGCATTGACCGTTTGAAGCACGCAAAACTGTCGTGAGATCCAATAAGAATCTTGAGTGCCCTGAGGCTACCTTGAGCGTCAACTGGCTTGTCTCACATCAGGGTGGGTTGCACACTGAATCACAAAGGCAGCTATATAAACAGTCTTGGTGGAGACTTTCCAAACAGCCTGCAAAGACCTGCAAAGAGCATTGCTTTTCACAACTGCCATGGACGATTCGACCCAACAGCAGAGCCACTCCCAAGTCGGCTTGGCACTGACTGTTGAAAACTTGTCATCCATAAACACTTGCGGTCTACAGGCTAGCATGGCATGGTTGCTTTGGCAAGCCTGCAATGCTGCAAAGAAAAATCTGCATCAACTCCTTTGCCTTGTCAGCACAGGGGGAAAGAGCTAATCCCGCCCTTGTCGCTCCCTGAATTGTCCGCTCTCGTCCGCATTGGCAGTAATCACATGTTCCCGCTCGACCTGAGGAATCGGCTTACAAGTCCATGTGCCAGAACAAAATGCAGGTTGAATTGGGTCCTTTATGGGGCTCTAAGGAATGAAAGCTCACACAACACTTCCTCATTTCAAAACCACAAGACCGAAGCTCCTGGAGATGGCAAGTACTCTTTTTTCGCTATTCTTGCGTCTCTGCGTTGGTTTGTACTAGATCATGTGCTAGTGCCTTGTGAAGGATACTGTGTCCCCAGTCAGGTTGAACATAGTGTAGTAGTGCGCCCACAAAGGCAGTCCAATGACTAGCAAAGGGTCCCAAAAGGCTTGCGGCGGGTCCAGGACACCAACAAGTCCCTCGGACATGAGTTTCGTCAAGTTGAAGTCGAGAATGACGGAAGCTTTGGACACACGTGCACCTTCCAAATGGAATTCCAGCTTTGCTTGCTGGGAAAGTTCGATTTGCAGCAAGCTGCGCAGCTCAGAAGGCAGCAAGTGTGTTGGAGTGCCTGTGTCAATAATGCACGCCCGAGCGTGCTTCGTACAGTCAATTCCAGCAAATTCCGCATCGTTGATCACGATCTTCTCAACATTTACATTGTACCACCCAGATGTTCCAGTCCCTGAATCCAGCAAAAGTGCTGTCGGGGCATAAGGACTGTAGTAGGGCGCCTCAGTAGCTGCATCTCCCAAACGTAGACTGCCAGTGAGGCCGCCAGACCAGTAGATACCAAAAGTCTCAGATCCCCCTCGATTCATGCGCAACTCCTGCATCAGGGGTGGCAACAATGTTGACGTTGTAGACGGGCAGAGGATCTCTATGTCATTGGCCATCATCGAGCAAGAGCTTGAAAGGTCTACAGAAGAGGGATACGCCTTGTTCCTTTTGCGGTATGCAACTCCGAATATGCCTTCGCTAGGCATGTTTGTGCAAAGCCAAGGTGCACAGGAACCTTCAGCAAAAACCGCATAGCTGGCATCAGAAATATGTACAGCACTGCCAGCTGTGCTACCTTCAATTGTCAACTCTCCATTGAAGAAGGGGCCCACATATCCATCACTGAAGTGGCTATTGGAAGAAGAGGGACCATACTGCTCACAAGCCTTGAACTGGGTTGGCTGGGACAGCGGCAGGACCTCTGGCAAGCTTGTGTTGCAAAAGGCCACAGTGGAGGATCCAGTGTCTAGAAGCAACCGCCGAGCGGGAAGTGTACCAAGTCTTACTTGAAGCAAAAGCCGGTGAGATTCATACTCAAGCATCAGGGCGTGCCCTTTGAGTGCAGACGTCTTGGCTTGCAATAATAAAAGCCCTGTGTCTTCCTCACATGCCATGCAAGCTTCACTTGCTGTTCCAAAGTGTGCTGCTGCCAGCCAAGCCAAATGAATCAGACCCATGCCGCTAATTCGGGACAGTACCTATCTGACTTCGATCGTGAACGCCTGCACGAAGTGTGTCTCCATACTATCTTTGCAGGTCACAAGTGGTGTCAGGCAATGGCTTCCTAAAGCAAGTCTTGATATACAGTAGAACTGTTGCCTCATGATTTTGTTTGCATCCAAGGGACGAAGCGCAACCCTGGATAAGCTGTAGTACTGCGCTCCTCTTGTGAAAGCGTCACCTTGGCACTGCGGCCATATTCATGAGCTTTTGAGTCGTGAGACCTTCAAGTCAGGATGTCTTTGCCGAAAAGCATCAGTGTCCAAGTATACTTGATTGGGGTCGATGAGAAACTGCTTCCTGGCACCGTGCATTTGGTCAATTTCCATTGTGATACATTGGTTGGTTTCTTTTTCTTTGGACTTGAATCTTGCACGCTACGGGAACAACAACGGTTTCATCTGGCTGATGATCGCCTAATGATGCGTTTCGCCACCAAGAAAGTATTCTCCTCGGCTGCTCACATGAAGTGCTGGCTGCGTGTCACTACTGCCCTGAGCTTCCTGATCTGCGAAACCTTTCAGAACGTCCAGAATGTGCAAGAACGACCCCTTGCACCCCCGCTTTGGCCGGGCATCGTCCGGCCGCAGCTTGGCACAAGGTACCAGCACTTTGTCGTTGATGTACTTTCCAGGGCCCTCCTGGCAGGTCGAGAGGATAACTAGCAGCAATAAGTAACTAGTACTCCCCCCAGACCGGTTGCACAGCAGACCATGCTACTTTCTGCCATAAAGAAATTGACATGCAGCCTGCTCAGCTCTGTCTCAAATCGGAATCTACTTTGATCCTGCTTGACTTGAAAAAGGATCTCTCCATCGCTCTTCTGCATGCACAAATTCACCACCCTTGGTTAAACCGATTTCCCATCATCAGCCAGCTCAAGCAACTCCTTACGCCTTTCATGAACCTGGCGTAGGAAGAACAACCCCAAACCAAAAGTCAGATTTGCTGTTCCCAGCACTGGTTAAGTGTCCAAAAAATTGACATCAAGAGCAAGGCCACTTGTAGTGAGCACATAGACCGGCGAAGTTGAGCAAACAAACTATCTGCATACCGGGTGTCTCTGAGACCACGTAGCCAGCACCATTCCTTGGAACAGCATGGCAGCGCTACTGTAACAAAAATCGGGCAGCACGGCTTCATGCTGCCAAAGCTGCTTGTCCTTAACAATGCGCACATCACCCTTTATCAGCTCTTCCGAAAATTCCTTCAGTGTCTTTGCACCATTTTGGCCATACTGGCTAACCTCAACTTTCTCCAGTGCTCGGACTTTCTTGTCTGGCTGGAATGTTTCACCATCATTTGCACGGCTCCTGGGCTTCCCAGCGTCTATCTTCAAATCAATCAGGTAGTGTTTGAGCTCATCCTCTTTCAGCCCAATGGGCGCCTCCCACGCTAAAGATCGGACTTTCAGCTCGATTGCGCCTGCTACCCACGCACACAGATCTGCCGAGACCAGGCACCTGAGGTTGTTCCTGGTCATCATTGTGAGCGCCACAGGTGCACGAATCGATGGAGCCCCACGGTGCAACGAGTGATAGAATGGAAAGAGCACTGGGCGGAAGGATATATAGGAGGAATGGGAAAACTAAATGGAGAACTGCCCCTCATGAATGCGCGGGCCAGCGACAACGCCAAGCCTCTGAAAAAGTTTTGCCGTCATATACAGATATAGAGGAAGAAAGGCAGATACAGAAATCGATAGAAAAGTAGACACAGTATAGAGGGGATGAGGATCTAGATGAACGTGACATAGGCCACCGCAAGCTGCCACATCCAATATAGTATTCTGGCACAACATTTGATGGAGGAATCTCGCTTGCTCTCATGCTTCCCTTTTTGCTGTATAGTTCAAGTCACATTCACGTTTTGTCAAGCAAGCCACTGGCATTGATATCCAGAGTTAGCCGTTCAGTTATGCAACATACTGAGTGCACAAAAATTTGCAAAACTTCCGGGCACAAATATAAGCAAGTACAGGACGTGAAAGCACATTGAAACATATGAGCGCCGGACGAAATCTGTTGTATATCTAGCCTGACGGCCTAGAATGGGTCGGCCCCCATCGGGTTCTGCAGCTTTGTAGGTATGGCTGCAACACAGGCCCACTTGTTGCCCTCAGCAAGCTTGGTTGGCGGCATCAAGCTTGCCATATTCAGCAAGCCAACTGTGAGGGCACGAATGAAGTAGTAGTGGTTGTACAAGTTGTGGGGAAGTTGCTCTTCCATGGGCAGAAACATATTCAAAGTGGGCATCGGTCAGCATCGGTTGGGCACCGCAGTGAGAAAGCTATTCAGTGGGTGCGGCAGCTCGTCTCAAGACCCCTACACCTACCAAAGGCACCTTTCGCAAAAGCTGTGGCCCCCTTGCAGGCAGCAGCCAAGGGCCAGCAGCAACTCCATCATCCAGTTGCCATTGGGCAACAACAAGTTCTTTCAATTCAGCTGCAAAACAGGTCCGCAGGCGTACGCATCTCAAACTGAGAAGAGCAACATATCAAGTTTTTGCACAAGCCACACATGTAGCGTGGCAGCGTGCTTCCTTAAGTGGTTGGTACGAGTAAATCGAAAGGACATCAATAGAGGGGTCGGCCCCCATTGGTCGTGCAGGTCCGATGCAGGTTTCCCGGATGCTCATATAGAGGAAATGATACCGAGGTGCAACCTTATGTATGCCCAAGATGGTTTATACAAACAAAAGATGCCCGTAAGCCATGGGTTCAGCCAGCGCAGGAACTCAGGCCCGAACCAGGACCAACGAAGAAACTTTCGACGAGCTGCCCACTTCAAGTTTCATGTGGCTGGCCTAACCGTTCTGCGCAACATTCCAAGCACATGACCAAGAGCCCTCAAACAATGATTTCAATCCTGGCAACCCAAATCACGCCTCGGCCTCCTCCTCTGTTATCCAGCGCAAAGTCCTGCGCACAACG